GATGGTGAAACACCAAGTCAATTGACCAGCAGTGTTTCGTCGACAGCGCATTGATTCCAGAGGAGAGCACTGACTGCTATGCATTGTTTGTTGCGAACAAAGAGCTATAACAGCTGAAATCACCACCAGCTACAACAGTTGATGACCCAGTCAGTTTTCTCAACACACCGTGCAGCGTACATGCCTATGCAGCTGGAGCCCGAAGCATGTCCCTGCTCTGATGGCATGTCATTGCCAGCTGCATCAGCAATGGGTCAAGAAACATCAGAATTCAACATTAGAAGAATGGAAGAAATTTGCATGGTCAGATGAATCACGTTTTCTTGTCCATCACATCAAAGGCATGTACTAATACACTGATTTCCAAATGAAACCTTGACTTCTGGATGCGCAGTTGGACTGAGACAAGTCGGTGGCAGGGATATTAGGTTCACCAACTCATGACAACAGTATTTCCAGCGAGGAATGATATTAACCAATAGGTTAATGCACCATGTCATAAGGGTTGAATCGTCAGGGAGTGGTTCAAGGAACATTTCAGCGACTTTCAAGTCATGTCTTGGCCTCCAAATTCACTTGATATTAATCCAATAGAGCATTTGAGGTTCCACCAGGAAAACCAAATTTGTGTTGCCATGCTACCCTCTCGCAATGTGCAAGAATTGCAGGACCAGTTGGTGAGTGCTTGGTACCAGATAAATCAGACTACGTATCAGCAGCTTGTGGAGTCAGTGCCACACTGGGTGCTGGAAGTTATGAGGGCTAAAAGTGGTCTTAAATGTTATTAACAGGGTGGTCATAATGTCAAAAATACAAAGCTGTTCAAACATGGCTTTGACATTTTCTGCAGTCAAACGCTTTCCACTTTCAGCATCAGTTTTGTCCACATATCTACTGTGCTTATCACTACTGTGCTACCACATATCATATGCTTATACAACTTAGCCAAAGTGAAAGAGTTAGCAACTAAATAAAATAACAAAATTAAAACTGATTTAATTTTTATATTGATTCAAAATATCAGCCAATATGTATTTTAATACCAGCAATTTGGTCAACAATCATAAATTATATTTTTAAACATTTATTATTCAATAAAATATATTGCATTTGTGCATTCCTGCAGCAATTAAACACGTCAAAATTGATAGCCTCTCTTTGAAACCAGTCAGGGTTCATAGCCACATTTTAGTTAAAAAAATAAGCACCTACAAGCACTTTTCAAGCGCATTTTAAGAAAAAAAAATACACACCTGTCTAATTACAATCATACACCAACTGCATAACCTTAAAAATTAGACTTGTAATTTAAATAGATGAAGAAAAAGTACTTATTAGAGAGAATAAGCATTACCTTCAACCATGGAAACTTTTTTTTGTTTTTTGTTTTTTAATTTGAAATTATAGTTCAATTTACATAACTAGTTTACAATGAGAGGAAAAAAATAAACTATGAAGAACTAACTATATTACAAAATTTAATGATAATTTCAGTTCAAAATAGAGAAAATAAATAATAATAAGGTATATTTATTGTATTCGCTTGGACCTAATAATAAATACAATTTGTTTTTTTCCACTCATATTGATATTTAATAATTTAAATCTAAATTTTTTTATTCCCTTTCTCTCACATACTGCAAGCAAAGTAATTTAAGTAAAAAAGAGGAACATTTCTGAAATCAGAAGACAGAAATTTGCTATATGCAGTCATCTTTAACAGTAAAAGCTTAACAAACCCGCATACTTGGAAATTGGCGAATATTCGGACAGTCGAGCGTAACTTGAAGGAGCGGATGGAGGGGGGTAGACTGTAGCCGCTCTTTAGATTTTCCCACTATATAAATGCTTTTGACATTTCAATATGTGCATCATATAAAAATAAACCAACAGAACTAAAAAATATTCTGCTTAGCAAGCACAGTAAAACTCTTTTAAATGTTCATAAACAAATCTCGGACTGAACATCAAAATTAATTATCTCTTCAAAATATCGCAAGCGTTATTGCACAATACGTGTGCCGTAATTCTTTTCTACGTGATATTGCGCAATCGGAATCAACAACTGCCGGTATTAGGAGAATAAAGAACTAAACAACTGGCATGTTTTTCATTCTAATTTTCAACAGACGGCGTTAAATTTCGGAATAGAAACATTCTTTGCTTGGGTTGGTAGACCGCAGAACTTTTAGTCCTATTCAATCCAGATTGGAAAGTGAAAAAAAAAGGGCCCGTTGCTTGTTTTGCAGCGAACTGTAACAGTTTCAATATTCAAGATTTTGCGGAGAAAGGGGAGACCTCCCAACCTTCGTATGTATTGGCCAAAAAAATGGAATTATTGTCACTATTCGATTACTTTCCCTTTATTTAAGCCATTCCGAATATTATTCTTTAGAAAGCTAATCTGTGTTAAAACACAACCATTTTTGGAAGTTTACGATACTTCAGCAGTTACTGCAACTATGTTATTATAAACATTTATACATATGCTCATAATATAAGCATAACGATCATAATAAACACGAATATGAACTGACCAAGCTGAACGAGAATGCAAATTTTTAAGATCTTGATAGAAATTCAAATGTGTGTAGTATATGGGTGGGAGGAAAAGAATGCCGAATGTAGCGGAATTTTCTACTGCTTTCGCAATTCTTTGACCGATAGAACGACGGGCACTTGTCTGTACTCTTCGTGCACACCAAAGGTTATGTGTTAATGCAGAGAAAGGGGAAAAAGCTATTTCCGGGAGTATGACTCACCATCTGACATTTCATATTAGGAAGAAAAGTTGTTTATTTATTTTCGGCTTTGGTATGGGGAAAAATAGCGCGTTCATTACACACACACACACACACAAAAAAAAAGGCACTAAAAGCAAAAAATAAGCACTTAAAAAAAAAACTTTAAAGAAAAAGTAATTAACCTATAAGGGCCTTTATATTTTATTTTCAAATGTAAGGACTTATAAGCACTTATAAGGACCACTAAGAACCCTGCCAGTGGAGGCCTTTTCTGCAGAGATAGCCAAGATATATTTGCCAGAAAAGACCAGTTTCATCTGCATTGTAAATTTGTTCAGGAGAAAACTGTTTGCTATCAGTAAGTTTGATGAATTCATGGTTCAGCTGCTTTAATATCACATTAAAAATTTTTTTGCCTGAAATTTTTAACTGTTTTACACTACAACAGTCATTTAATTTGGCTAACCAGTGGGGATTTATTTAATTTACTTTATTACAGTCATTTTATGTTTAAACAGTGTTGTTATTACTCTTGTTTTCTTGCCAGAATGCAAATTGACTAGTGTGCATGTATTCAGATGAGGTAGAAAGAGATTTAGTATTTTAGTGAAGGTTTTAAAAAGTGAAATTAAAAAGTGTTCTGCATGCCTGAAGGCCATGTTGCTAACTTTTAATTCTCTAACAATGGAATTTGTGCCACTGAGCTATTCTTGTTATTAAGCTTGCTTACGCTGACTTTTGAGTCAGAGCCAGCTTGCACAATAGTTAACTTGTAATATCATTAGGCTATACTTAACTTCATTACTTTTACATTATTCATTACCTTTTGAGTTAAGCCACAAATGTTGGCTCTTGTAAGCACAAGTTGGTGCTGTCTGTGAAACCTGATTTCATTAATAAAGGGTCCTTTACATCTTTCTCCTGACTTAAAGACCTTAGTGATTATTCACTTAACAGTCTTCTAATGTCAAGCTCAATTTATGATAGCCAAGTATACAAAACGTTATAAACCAACATGTTGAATATGTGCACTCAGTTTTTAATACCATTTCTCATGAAGCATTTTAGTTTGAACTATTAGCAATTGGACTCATCAAAGGCATACACTTACTGCAATACTGTATTCTCCATTCAGCTGTAATCTTAATGAACAATTTTTCAGTTAACTGCAAGTGAGGTGTCAGAATCTACAAATGTTTCAAAGAGCTTTTCTTTCTTTTGTAATATTTGTCCCTTCTTTGCCATATCCGTCACATACTTTTCCTTTCTTTGTCATCTATTTCAACTCTGCAACGTCAAATTTCTTATTTAATTTTGAGAAGGATCTGCCTTATATCTCTTTTTCCAGGAATTCTCCCTTTTGTTTGATTGATAACTAAACGTTTTTGTTTTGTCAATTCTGCTGCAGCTCTAGAATTGATATAATCGAAAATTCAAACTTTCATTTTGATTCTATATCTTTAATAATAAGAGCCAACAAAAAATAATAAGCTGGATCAAATTAGAAATTTAAGGAAAATTGCAATTTGCTAGGTTATAAGTTCCATCGGATATAATTATTTCTATCTTCTTTACTGTTATTCCAACAAAAGGAAATCAGTATGAGCAACATCCCACTCCAAATATATCTCTCGGCTTATTGTTTAGGTTAAGATAAAAAAACACACACCCCTTAAAACAGCACAAGTACAAAAAGTATGGTCCTGGCCAATGTCACTCAATGTATTGCCACACATATTCTTGAAAGTAACATGCAGGCATCTCATGTCAGTTGGAAGAAAGATTACTTCTCCTTTTATTATATTCCCCATTCTTATAAATTTTAAAAGAAAAAAATTTTCATTTTTTTCTTTCTTTCTTGTTGGTTATCTAGATTTCCAGATCATTTAAGATTTTGAACTCTGCATACCATCATCATCATAAACAGCTTGAATCTACACCCTGAAAACAATGCTAACAAGTTAATAGTTTGAAACAGTTATGAAAAGAATGGATTTCAGTAACAAGTCTCATTTTACAGCATAAATTTTTTTCCACAACAACACAATGTGCATATTCAGATCAGTAATAATGCAATTATAACTGGTCACTTAATATTCTAGTTATAAAATTTAAATTTGCTGCACTGAAATATAATTTAACACTTTAAAACTTATTTCTTATATACTAGATTAGATTAAATTTAAATAGAAAGTAATATATATATATATATATATTTTCTCAAACAGAAGCTACTGAAAGTAAAAAGAAATTTACCATAATGATGAAACACCGGGTGTCTGCAAGACATAAGTACGATCAAGGAATAGAAATATACTTCTTATCATAATCTGCGGAAATAACGAAAAACAGTTCTTCATATGATAAATAAAGACACAAATTATAGAATATATTCCACAAATTAGAAAACAGGAAATTAACATGTTGACTGCCATGCCACCTGTATTCAAGTGGCAGCAAAAACTCCAATCAGGACGTCTCATCCATATTCGGGAGACACTTACTTTAGTACTTCGGTAAGTTAGTAGGTATTTGAAAAAATTTTTGTTGAATGATGAAAGAAAGAATCCGATTGTTGCCTGACAATTAAATCCCTTCCATTCACTAAATTGAATTGTATTTCTTTTGTTATTCCTTTTCTTCCTCAATAACAAATTCTTTTAAAATATGATCAATAATAGTATCTATATTATATTCACTATCACGGCATTTATCAGTATTTGGCAATATAATTCTATTTATATTTCTCTTTCTGAAAAAAAATCTTGGCTGTTTTTCATCACTTCTATCCAAATTTTTGTAAACCTGATTCAGAGCAATTTGAGCAGATTTCTTCACTGCTATATAATTTACTAAGAATGACATAGCTCTTTTTTTTTTTTTTTTTTTTGGCCATTACAAAAAAATTAGGGCAACAATTTTAACACAACAAATTTTTAACCATTTGTCACTACAGAAATTTGAAAAAGAAAGATTTTTGAAAGAAGAAATGATTTTTGAATCTCACAAGCTGTCTTAGATAGTTCATTCTTGAGGACAGATTTTCAACCGAATGCATGTCTCGAAATGTTTTATTCTGAACGTGCATATTTTCTGCTACAATCAAAAAAATTGTGCATGATATAGCAGTGCTTGTTGCCTGATGGAGATTTTCTTATAAACTCATGTGACAGTCAACATGTTAAATGAAAAATTTTGACCATTTTATCACTTTTAGAATTAAATGAAACAAAGTAAGAAAATAAACAAAGTCGCTTTTTTTTTTTTTTTTTTTAAGTAATAGACAGACAATAAATATATCTTACCATTTGACGACAATGGTCTTGCCAACATTCATTCATTAATTTTAAAAAACACAGGTTATCCAGGTTGTCTCTATTTCTAATTAAGAATTAACTTCAGGGCAAAATATACAAGTTAAACATCAGGTTAAGAAGACGATTTTCCAATCATAAACATTTGTACATTTTCAGAAAATAATTTAGTGTGTTTATTTTTAAGAATTTCATGTAAAAATCACAACCCTTTGCTTTAGCTTTATTTTTTAGAATGTTTATTGCTGAATTAATTCTTTAAATTAATGCTACTTTGATCGACAACTGCTGAATGTTATAATTACAATGAAAACATACTCTAAAACAGGAACTACTAAATTTGGATCGAATCACTTAGAATAAAGAATCTTAACAGCATATATCTTTCAAGAGAAAAAAAGCACATATTATTACACATACAAACAGAATGAACAGCACCTCCACATGGATTTAATTTAGCTGCTGACATTTAAGTAACCATATACTTATAATCATATATGCAAGATGAAAGCAAACTACCAAAAATGAAGCTCCTACATTGATTAAATATGCCTTTTAAAAATTTAACCTTTAGGTTGTAATGGAAAAACTAAACTCAGTTGCATAACAGCCCTAATGGGCCAAGGTCTGCAGTGCCCAAAATCTGTTTTCTTGACCATGGTCCCTGGGGTGCATAAGCATATGCCCTGAACAAGTGGTCAGCTTGTTGCAGGACCCCCAGTGTTTAGTCCCCAGGCAAAGCTGGTACTTATTTTATCGACCCAAGTGATGGAAATCAAGGGATGAAAGGCTGTCGACCTTGCCTAGCCCGGGAATCCAACCCCGGACCTGTGGTGCTGCTGTAATGGAAAAATCACTCAAATTTGCTTTTTTACGCAAATATTTTTAAGTTTACTCAACTTGATGTATATTTGCCACCTGTTACATACAAGAACTTCCCACACTAATTATTGCTTAAAAAGAATTCTAAAATCCTATAAATATAAGAATTTCAAAACTATTAAAGGCTGCAAGTTTTGGCTTAAAGTATACAGTACACCTCCCCCCCCCAATATTTTAATCATATATCACCCAAATCCATACAGACTTCATTTAATCCCCTTTTTAAGTTTTTAATCAACATTCTGGATTCACTTATGGATCCACATTAAGGGCTAGGAAAAAGGTGTATTTGGGGAAGAGATCCTAATGGGAACTCATATGTATAATGCAAAAGATTATATGAGGAGGGGAGGAGAAACTGCATTCTTCTAGCTTACTCAACCATCAGGATATGATGTTTGGATGAACTATTAAAGTTTTGTGATACTAGCCACTTGTAAGGATAGCAATTTTAATATCATGGACATTCAAAATAATTAATTAACTTATAAAACAGCCCTTAGCTTTAAATAATACCTCTGAACTACAATAAATTTTGTAAGTAAATTGCTCAAGATAAATGGAAGAGAACTCTAGAGGGATAAATTATAAAGCTACAACTGCCATCAGCACAACAAATATGTAAGTAATAATTCCTAATAAACAGAAAAAAAAAGTTATTCTTTACTGTTTCACTTTACAATATCAAAATTCAATACTGAACTAAGTTAATTTTAAAATTATTTCTAAAATATTTCTTTACTGCATGTAACTTAAGACATTTTTGTTGCATTACATCCAATTAAATAATGGAAGAAAATGTATAAATAAATGATAGCACTACCATGAAAATATAAAATACATCTAAAGCACTTTAAAAAAAGTAAATTCTTTCCAATAACAGGGTACATATATAAACAGGGTGCAAGAAAAATCAAATTCATTTTATAGTAATGCAGATGTAAAGCACACTGAACATTTCATCTGTCATATGGCATGCTTAATTATATTTTCATGATTTTCTGTAAGAAAGCTAGAATTCTGATCCTGTGTAGATAAAAAACTTGTGAAAATGACACTACATGTGCTGGACCCTGTTTGCAGAAAAATATACAGATGAAAAATCAACAAAACTGCCTCTGAGCACAAATTCAAAACAACAAAAATAATAGCCACGAATAAATTATATCAGTAAAATAAGTCACAATGAAAGCAAGCACTACTTACTGATTTGTGACACAATGTTTTAGAATGCGGGGAGAATGACACTACTCCCCAAAACTATTGCCTTTGCAGTATAGAAATTTTATTCAATGACTCACATTTTCAATATGCACCCATGTTAGAAGGTTGTTCATAAAATTTGCTTATGTTGTCTTTCAGGTTAACAACTAATGCAGCATTCAAAGGAAGATGCTCATTTAAGGTAACCCTGTAGAGACATTAGGTATATTTTTGGATGCAGGAAAGATGAAAAATAGAAACTGCCTTTGCCGGGAATCTAACCACGGACCTATGGAATACCGGCCCAGCGTGCAGAACCACTACACGAAGGACACTAGAGAAGCGGGAGGAAAACCTTATATACTCCCCTTTTTAAAGGGCAACTAGGGTTTTCGGCGACCTAGTCACCAAATGATGGGCGTGGAGAATCGTCATCCACAGCCCTTTTAGTTCGGGCGCCACTGTAGAGACATTAGGTATATTTTTGGATGCAGGAAAGATGAAAAATAGCAATAATCTTCGCCAGGAATCGAACCACAGACCTGTGGAATACCGGCCCAGCGTGCAGAGCCACTACACCACGAAGGACGCTAGGGAAGCGGGAGGAATACTTTATAACCCCAAGAATCAAATAATTAAAAAAAATACAGAAACAGAAAAATTGAAAAATAATGGGTGGTTATTATTTTCAAGTTTGCTATACAAATTATACAGCATAATAGCTATGAAAAAGCATGCAAGTTTTGAAATAATGAAACTAATTCTATTATTATCAAATTAAATGAACGTTTCAGTTAATTACCTAATTCTTTCATTAAAAGATTCAATGGTGCATCTTCTGCAATAAAATTCTATCTTATATAGTTCTCATCCAATACTTCAAGCCATACCTCAAAGTTAATTCCCTCAGACAACACTTTTCAACATATTTATTGCCACAGAATTCTCACTCCTGAATTTTCTGATAAAATGTCTCAACAGTTAGAATTTATTCTGAATGTCACGTTAAAATCAGGCTTTGTCCCCCCCCAAAAAAAGACTAATATATTTTAAGGTTACTCATATAACATCCTCAATGATTGACCCATAAATCCTTGTTCACAAACTATTATTTTTAGATTGGGAAAAAGAATGAAAACAGTCTCTTCTTCCCTCATTCCTGCTAGCAGTACAGTTTGTCTGTCACAAATAATTCAAAGGGCAATTTTAACCTTTATATTTCTTATTCAGCTAAAACTGATAGTGGAAATAAAGTTCATAATTTATCTTCAGAGTTTTGTCTCTATAGCATTACTGCTTTGTTCTCATTAAAGCCTATAAAAATTCATCTTCTTTTCTTGGTTTAAATAAACCTTGATAACAGTCACCCCCCTTTTTTTTACAAAACGCCCTACATATTTTAAGTAAAAATTCAGAAAAGCCCCAGTTAAAAAAAAAAAAAAAAGTATGACACTAAGCCATTCAATATGTCTTTCATATCTGTAGTTTTGAGCTCTGGCTAATTAATGCAAAAATAACATGAAGATTCAATGTACAGTCAATATGTTTATGAGGTACTGTTACTTAAAACTTATGCATAATATTCAATTAAAAATGTAAATTTCACATCTATTCAGGTAAAAATAATTAAGACATACAAATAACTCTTTCTGCAATCAAATAAACTATCGCAATTATATGAAAAATAATGTTTCATCAGCCATTACACAACATTTATTTATATTTTAGTTATTTTTTTCATTGTTTCTTTCTTAGAAAATCCATGAAATGGTATAACATTTAAATCTCAAATCTCTAGAAGGGGGATTATATGAACTAGGCACATATTTTAATAAATAATTACATACAGTTAGGCGATCTAATTTATACAGTGGAAATTGACTTTTAAGAAAAGTTTTATCATAATGTTAACAAATGCTTCTTTCATTTTAGCAGCCCCTTGCACTTGATAATAACTAACAATATCAGTTTCCACTGATAATAATCTTTCTTTTTTAAATGACTAGCAGTAACTGCATGTTTTGTTAGATTAACCATTTTCTGGTCTTTTATATACAAATTACAATATTTACCCAGAACAATACAATTACTGATATATGTAGCACTCTCTTGCGCAAACTCCTTTATAAACTCCTGTGCAGCATGTATCACACAAATTAAACAATTTATTCTTGAAGACCTACTTTTCACAAATTTTTAATCAGAAAGTTCATAAATTATACCTCCCATTTAATCACTAATACCGATAAATTTTACAGCAATTCGCAAAATATGACAATTATGTATCCAAAAACATATTTCCTTGTCTAATTATTTATAAATTCCAACAAACTAGATTAAAATTTATTTTAAAAATATTCAATTTTAAAATCCTCAAAAGCCAGCTTCTTATCTTAGCATAAAACAGCCATCTATAATTTAAAAACTAAGTCATTCTTTATAAATTATATCTGCATTCAGATACATAATACTCATATGAGTTTGTGTAGCAGAAAAACACGCACACAAAAAAAAAAAAAAAAAAAAAAAAAAAAAAAAAAAACTCAATCTTTTCAAAATAATAATTTTACTGCTGATACAGAACAACTTTTTGAAGTTATAAGATTTACCTAGATCTCAAAATTCCCCTTCGTTTAAGAAAATACCATGGAAATTTTGAGTAACTGCTTTGTCAGTTGAAGAGGTAAATGTGCATTATGAATGCTTGCAACAGATGATAAAAAAAAATTTAATTAAATTAAAAAAATCTAGCACAAGTAAAATGACCCAGGAAGAAGAAAAAGACCAAGGCTTTTTCCCTTCCTTAAAAGACAAAACATAACAACAAAGACAAAACATAACAACAAACTGAGCAGAATACCTTACTCAATAGTAAAAAATAATAGTCATTTCATTAATTATTCTTGAGCTTGTTAAGCAACAATAATAACTTAATTATCCAATGAACAGGTTTATAGTCTCATTTACTGGTAAATTAGCTTGTACTCATACATATAAATTAGCTTGTACTTATACATATGTGAAAAACCATTCATGTAGATAGCATGTTCATTTGCTGAATTTAAATATCACGTCCTACAGGTTTTACCTGTCTACAGTTGATAGCCACAATGCAAGAGAATTTACTAATTGCATTGATAATCAATATCTGATATTGATATTGATAGTCAAATCGAAATATCGGAATAAAATTTCTTTATAAATGGTAATTTACTAAGGAGGAAAGCTATAATAATAAATGACCAAAAAATCTCTCATTGTACTCCACAGAGGTAATATGAATGCTAATAATACAGCTAATAGTCTACATTCCTAAATCAGGCTATTTTGAAAAGCTATTAGCCTAGCTTTCATTTAAAGGATGATAATGATCATTCTTACAATCATTTAACTTCTTAACTACTACTTCTGTTATATGATGTTATATGTGGGGTATACTGTCAGCTGGCTCAATAAACTTGCACCTAATACAGAATCCTTGAGGTTATCTTGTCAAGCAGGCTGATTTTCATTACGGTAAACCCTTGCCAAACATGAGGGTTATGTCATTAATACAATGTATGTATGGCAAAATTGCATTCAGCATTATCTTTACATGGGAAAAATGTATTAGGCATAATTCAGATTAAGAAAGTATGCATAATTTAAAGAAATCTAAATACTGTTTCATAAAAAGGAAAAAATAAAACAAATATTACTTGAAAGGGTTTTTATTACTGCTTAAGTACATGATAAAATTACTTTTTTAAAAAGTTGGAGATTTTTGCTTGGTATAACTAATGCAACTCTAAAACATTTTATAGGAGTGCAGGGTTTATAAATGCCTCTCATAAAGTGTCCTCTGCTTTCTTCATTTGAATCAATTGCCACTACAAAATCAGACAGTTCCTGTGCCTTTCTTTAATCACTCACTTAACTGTTTTCAAATTAAAGCCACTATATCTTCTTCATTATCACTGTCTGCTGATGTTAAAGCATAGTCCAGTTCTTCATTCAGCATTTCTCAATTAATTCTTTGACTTTTATTTCTTCCCTATCGGAAAATCCTTTGTCACTAATTTTTATGATTTCTTTGGCTTCATTTTCAATCCACAGAAATCTTTTAAAGTTGTTGACAACTTCTGACTAGAGCTAACTCTAGCAAGAATTCACTGATGATGAATGAATATTGCACAGTACTATATAAATGAAATCCTACTGTTGGATGAATTAAATGGGAAAAGTCAAAGTAAAGCATATAAACAAAATTGTGTTTGGCAAGGTTTTACTGTATGCTCCTAGACTAAAAAGTAGCATTCCATAAATATCACGACTTTTTACATAAAGACATCATAAATAGCTTGAGTATGAATATATCTTATTATTGTAATTTCCTATACATTTCTAAGAAGTCTACATATTCCTTAATACATTATTTTTGTGCTTGTATACTAAATTTGTATACTTTATTGATATATACCCATACATTAAAGTTGTGTACATTACTTAAAAAGTTAAAGCTTAAACTATGGAAAGGCCCTTAGCGCCTGGGGCAGTGCCTTAATCCAGAACTGGTTATGATTAAAATAACAAAGAAATAAATTACATGCGAACAGAATGAGCTCAGCCAACTGAACATACAGTAATAGGAAATATTCACAGCATCTATATTAAATCCTCATTAGAACACCCCTTTCTGAAATGAAACGTATTCATAGAACAAAAAAAAAAAAAAAGTTCCTCAGCAATAAAATTATTATCATAAGAAGGGCAGAACATATAAAAATTAAAAATACGTATACATCTATGCAAACTAAAAACGTTTCACAATTTGTATACTAAAAGGATATTTTAAAAACTGTTCAACATTTAATTTTACATGCTGTTCACATAAACTACGAAGGTTTATATATAAATTATTGGCCATCTTATTAGAACACAAATTCTGCACAGCATGATAAAGTTCTTCTTGAGATGTACTGATAGGTCTGGAAGTCTGAATTGCTATTACTGCATCTTTTAGTTTCTCCCATGTCTCTTGCTGGTAATTTTCTGGTAATTTAGGTCTATCTAAAAAGGGGGGGAAAAAAAACCAAACTTAATTTATGATATATAATAGAATATTACAGCAACAAAAACAAAATGCTTTTCTACATTTAAGATCAACAGATTAATTACGGGGGGAGGATACCACTGGATATAGGAGTGCAGAGGAAATAATGTAACATATACAGGATCTTAATTGTCAAACTTCACAACAAAAGGATAGAAACTCTTAAGCCAATTACTGAATGCATATGCTACTATGCACTAACTTTTATGATGCACAGGTGATTTTACTTTCCAGGTATGCAACCAGCTGCAGGATATTTATAAATAAAGCAATCATAAAGTTTTAACCCTTCAGTGGTTGCAAAATTAAGGGATTCTTTCTTCCCCAAAGTGCACGATATCTCTCAGCCATAAACTTGTAATGCAAGCCGTATTCGTTTGCACCCACTGCGGTATGTAACTGGAATGCAAACTGAGCTCATTGATGACCATCAAAGGTTAAATAATTCCACAGATTTCAATCAAGAACTTTAAACAGAAAACAGTTATAAGTCTACTGTGTTACTTACTTAAAAAATGAAAAATGATATAACACATTCAGCAACATTCTCTCCGCCTGCTAAAATGGATACATCTACAGTTCAGAACCACGTGCTAGAGCTGACGGACAAAATGCATCGTTTTGCGGATAAATATTTTGGAGGCAATTGGAGTGCTTTAATAAATGCGGAATCACTTATGTTAGAGAACTACCTGTGCGTATTACAAAGTATTGAAAAGATGACATGGATTTGGAAACATTGACTGCCAATACTAAATCTTATCAGGAGCTGCAATTAGTTCGGACTGTGTTTGCCAGGGAGCGTGGTTTTGCCAAAGAATTATTACAGATATATAAATGGGCGAGTTTTTTGGTGCACACAATCCTGATTCTATTAATTTAAGTGCTACTGAAATTACCAAAAAAGTAATGGCTAGCAAACTGAAAATTGTTAAATCTAATGCTTGTAAAAATGTTGATGTTTATGTTGAAAATGGATCTGATGTAAATGTTATTAATCCTGTTTCAAATGTTAATGATGATTCTGGTAATATTAATGCTAAGCCCAAGCAGCCATTAAAAAAGAATAACAGGTCAGCTACCAAAATTACCAATATTGATGGCTTTACTCAGCAAGAAAAACCCGGCCAGGCCTTCTAAGTTAATTAAATGTAATGTAGATATTCCCATATGCAATAAATTTAATGGATTAAATGCAAATGACAATGGAAATGATAATAGGGACCAGGGTGAGCCTAAAATTATTAAAATTGAGCCCCGAGAATTAAACCTATTATGGTAAAACCAGCTAAAACATTTTTCGATTTTGTTAAAAAATTAAAGAGTAATACTAAACTTGAATTTGCAATTAAAATAAATGGCGAGTTTCTGAAAATGTTCCCGAAGACAGAGAGTGATCATAAGTTAATTACTATGTACTAAGATGATAAACATATAGATCATTATTTAATAATCAGCAAGGTAGAAAAACCTATTTAAGTTGTCTTTAGAGGACTACCCATAGATTGTCCTAAAGATGAGATTCATGAAGAGCTTTTGGTTATAAGGTGCGTAAAGTCTCACAAATGCATAGATTCAAAACTAAGGTCCCTATGCCTCTTTTTTAAGTCCAGTTGGAGAATGTACCAGGGGTAGAAGATATTCATAACTTAACTTACTTCATGAGTTTTTATGTTACTGTTACCCCATATAATACTATCGGTAGTGTTATGCAGTGTCACAACTGTCAGCACTTCCACCACTCGTCAGAAAATTGCAAACTAAAGCCTCTGCAGGCATCAAGTGTGTGGGGGCACATAAAACTGAAAACTGTAAGGCTAAATGAATTGACAATGTCATGGTGCTGTAACTGCGAACAACCAAGGGCACATGGTCAATTACCTGTGGTTGTCCAAAATTCTCTAATGCTAGAAATGTTAAAAATTCACAAGGTAATGAATAAAAGTAAAGCTAATGTTTCTAACAATGTAAATTTTGGTAATCGAAATAATGTAGTACCAGGCAATTAGTTATGCTAATGCAACTAAGTGGTAATGGTTACACCTTGAAAATGGCAAACTGTCTGATAAAAATTTTAAAAATGTAACTGATAACAATAATATTAAGAAGAAACCTACACAAGTAGGCCCAAATGTATTTGCTGATATGTTTAAATTTATTAAGGAACTTGTTGATATTTTTAAGGATTGCTAATATTATTAGAAAGATTACAGATAAAATGCCTGAGCTTCAAGCTGCAGAGCACACTATTGACAAGATGTTTATTTTGTTTGAAATATTCAAAAATGTCTTTGGTTCTAAATGTGGTGTATAATGTATAATGTATAGTGTTGTTAACAATTGTGTAAACATTTACACATGGAACGCAAACGGCTTGTAAAATTAATGAACTGCAAGATTTTATAAATGAGCACAGTCCCGATCTATTATTCCTACAAGAACACCGACTTGGTCACATCAAAACCCACAATCTATGTTGCAAATTTACTGTGTATATCGATCCAATAGAGACATAACTGCTGGCAGAAAAGGAGAGGAGGTGGTACTGCTCTCTTCTTGTTAAATAGCTGCATTCCGTTACTAATCAAATAACAATCCCACAGCTTCATCAGCTTTCAGTCATTGAGGTCACAGCTATCTCCATCACAACAAACACAGGCACAACATACACATTTATCTCCACTTATATACCACCATCAAAACTCTGCACAGCCATTGAGGCAGATCTCAACACATTACTCACACTTGGTACACACTTAATTATAGGTGGAGATCTGAACGCTAGACACAGCGCATGGAACTGCTATAATTCTAACACTATCGGCAATGTCATATTCAACTTGGCGTACAGGGTCTCATTTCAGATAGCAGCTCTAAGTACCTCAACACGATATATTACTGGTTCCTCTAGTATCTTAAGACTTCTTTCTTCTCAGAAACATCAGTGTTCCGCTGGATATTTCTGTGTTGGATGAATTATATTCCGACCACAATCCGGTCCACTTGATACTGGACATCAGTAGTTATACTACACCAGTCGAAAGAGCCTTTAAAACTGACTGGCAAACTTTTGCCAAAGCTCTAAACAACATTCAGTATACAATCCCAACAATACATTCAGGTAATGACATTGATAGTTTAATCGAGGAGTTTACCTGTGCAGTACAAAATGCCTATAAAAATGCTCAGAGAGAAATGAAACAGCCTAAACCAGTCAGATCCAAGAAACTTAGTAACCTCATCAAAAAACGCAATACTGCTGCCAGGAGACAATTTCAGAGAACCAAATCCAGGCAGTACAAAACTATTTTCAATAGGCTGTGTGATGTAGTCAAGTCTCGCACCAATTATTACTCACAACTCCGCTGTGCTAACTACCTGGAGTCCCTCTCCAGAGACAATAACTCTATATATGGAAAGCGGTCAAAAGGTATAAAAATGCCCCAACAACATTCTGCCTCTAAAGCTGCATTCAGACGGTGGCATAAAGAGCATAGAGGCATAGTCATAAGCGCATAAAATACGGGACATCCGTTCACACCTGCGAGACGGAGGGTCTAAGCTGTGGCCAATGAGAGAAGCTAAATTTGTGCATGTGTGGATGTGTCTACACCTCTCGCACGCTGTTTTCCGCTCGAGTGATTTCCCGCGTTCGCTCTGCTTGTTTTCATTATTTTGTGTCTTGGCTTTTTCAACTCACCACAAAGTTTTACTGACTCAACAGAATGCTCTTTTATCTGCCTTTCTTATTAGCCAAGAGGCAACGGAACAAGGTAAAAAAAGAAAATGAACGAAACGGTCTAGAGATATTTTTTTGGAAAACCAATACTTGTTTAGCACATACTTTGTGTAAAGCACTATGGAAAATTTTTGCATTGCACTGTAGTACTCTCTATACTATAAACATGTGCATACATATTTATATATATAAAAACCTTCTACAATTTTTATATGTAATTTCTTTTAGGAGAAATGCGATATTCCAAATATGCCTAATTAAAAAAAGATCTTGAAGATAAGTGAGAGATAGCCTGTGTATGATATTTTTCCATTTTGCTGGTGTGAAAGTACTTAAGCGGAAAACAGTACTTAACATTTAATTTTCAATCAAAAGGAACATGTTTCTGTGACAGTGAAACATGTGTGCTTAGCACTCCTTATTCTCTGTTACTGTCACTGTCGATCACTATAGTAGTTGGCTGCACTACCAGTATCAATTATCACTAGTACTAGTATCCCACAACTGGTCACAATGACCAGCAACCACAACTAGTACAATACTAGGAAACATTCACTCAACAATGTATTTTATATTCAATCATTAAATACATTTTGCCATATTGCCAGCTGTTTGTATACATTTATTTCTAATAATTTGCATGTATAAGCCGCATCCCTGAATTTAATTTCAACATATGCTGTCATTTCTATTTACGACCAAATATCAAAAGTAATTTCACATTGACAAATTTTAGTACCCCAAGTCTTAATAACATCAAAATTATAAACATTCATACCTTATCCAGGAATTTCTCCAAGAATTAGTGAATTTAATGATCAAAATTCCATTCAAATGATAGTATTAAAGAGTGGATAATATAACAAATACTATTCATAAATTATAGTCCATGTTATGAATTATGTGTATTCCAGTTCATTAAATAAATTCCTTTTCGGGAACGTAATTAAAAACAGAACCGAATTCACGGAGCGAAAAAAGGTTAGACGTTGATGTTGTTTTTCAGGACCTTTCTCTTTTTTCTTTAGTCTCCCGCGTTTTCCGGATTATCTTTTATTACTTTGCAAGTTTTCACCAGTGAAAATTTTTTCCACTACCAGAATAAGTACATAGTTTTTCTGCATTCCCCCACAACACAACTCTAGTTGGTAGGCACACTGTTTTAACAGTCTTTTTTCTGTTTTCGACACCTTTTCTTCAACGCCCTTGTTTCTTTAACCGC